AGAAGGACTGCTGAATCAACCTGTCACTCAGGGTGCCCCCATACTGATCCTTCCAGGGCCAGGCTGCTGTGCTTGCTGGCCAGAGACGCCCCAGTCCAGAGGCTCTTCAGCCTGGCACTGCCACAGGGAGAGCTGCTCCTGCACCAAGCGCAGCTCAGGCCTCTTGAACGCCAAAGGAGACTCTGAAATAATACGTTTGTTCTGCTTTTACTGCCGCATTTTTTAAAAAGAATTGCTACACTAGAAAGAATGGATTATGAGTAAATAAAAAGAAGCTGTCAGTCTCTTTGAAGGTTGTGTTTAAAGGGACTTGCCAAGTCAGGACAGAAGAGTGACAAGATAGAGACCCTGGTGTTTTACAGACTCAGCCCGGCTCTTCCGCTTCATCTGCACCGCACTAAAGGATGTGTTGAAGCATTGAATCACAAAAAAAAAAGTGGCACGCAAAATAAAAGGTGCCACATCACAATGATTGTAGTGTTTTTACTGCGGAGTGCCACATTACCCAATCCAATTGAAACGCAGGTCTACACAGCCCAAGGAAACGGTACAATGCTTACATAACTTATAATTAAGTAGAAGTCTGCCTAACATTTGACTTCCTAATGAGTGTAATGAGATTACATGCCTGATGGAAGCATTTGTGGAAAAGCAACTTTCGTGTTTAATGAGGCCCTAATACAGGACAAAATCAAATTATTTTCTCTGGTTCCCAAATTCTGACTCCAGTGTGAAATCTCCATCTTTTGGAGAGAGGGACAGGAGAGGCTGCGATGCCTGAAAGGGTAGAGAGGGTCCACCACCAAGGGCCTCCTGGGAGCTTCGAGGCTCAGAATCTCCGAGTGCCTGGCTGGGCCGCGCTTTGGTGTCGGGCTCACGGCCTTGCTGTAATTGTTCTTGGACGACGTCCATAGCACCCGCGGCGCGCGGGGAACCCCTCGGTGGGTCTGAAACTAGGTTAAAACAATTAGCTTGCTGCCGACATATTGTCCTTCTGCAGGGCCTTGGGTCCCGGGGAGATTCCTGATTGTAGCCTGGAGGGCCGGGCCAGTACCGGTGATGGGGCAGCAACTAGCCTGGGCCAGACCTTCGCTGCAAGGAGGCAGCAGGTCCCCGGAAGGGTGCGCTCCTGCAGCGCGCGGCCCCTTGCCGCACTTCCCCTTGCAGCCTGCGGTGTCTGAGGGCGCGCCTGACCACGGGTCAGCCATCCTAAGTCCAGGCTTGGGCCCACATGGGAAGGCTCTCTGAGGGCCCAGGAGGCGCGGGTAACCGCAAACAAGACCCACCGCAGCCTGGGTTTTCCAGGGCTCTCCGGCGTGGTGACCCTGGCCGCGCCCTCAAGCCTTTCCTCGTCGCTAGGGGGCAGTCCTACGCCCCCCGCGCGAGGCTTGCCTTCTTCCCAGACCAGGCTGGTTGCCAAGGAAGATTGAAATTCTGTTGGAGGCAAAAGGAAGTCAGCATCTGAAATAACCCAGTTGCAGAAGTGGCTGAGGAAGAGGACATGCTCCTTCCTGCCTTTTGTAGAAGATCCTGGATTTTGTTGGGAGACCTCCGCGGAGCCTCCCGGCCTCAGCACCTGTTCCATCTCCTTTAAGAGAAATACGTCTAAGTTCCACGTACCCGACGCTGCCGCTGCAGAAAGGATAGGTGACAGGAAAGTTCAAGAGGAACCCTTTCTCCCCAGCCCGTGCAAGCAAAAAGACCCCCTCCCACGGCCAGGCCCCAAATTATCCCCCTCCTGTTCCCACCGCACACAGCGAATTCAGTTGATACACTGTGGTTGGATTAAGCAGAGTAGAGGTGATCTTGGGTAAGTCAAATATCGTCTTTGAGTTTCAACATTTCCCTCTGAAAAATGGGAATAAATACACCGTGATCTACTTGCCTCATAGAGTGTCTGAAGCGTAAATTAGAAATGCAGGCAAAAGTCTCTCTTTAGGGCAGGTAACGTGGAAGAATGGCACTCTTAGAGAGTTGGGGCCTAACCCTCCAATCCACCTCCTTTCAGCTAAATCTCATTAAAATGTGGTTTCTTAGTAGATAGCTACCTTTTGAGTCTCTGGTTCTGTTATATTTTACAGGGTAAGTTAATTATTCTTTTAAGAGATATAGCTACCCCCATCATGTAGTAAACAAATAACTTTGAGAAAAAGGTGTAAATAGCATTTATTAACATCGCTTAGAAATAAATCATATCTTGCAATAAATTAGCATGAAGTTTCCTGGACAGAGTTCTTCCAACAACATTCTGCCAAAGGTGCTGGGACGGGAGGGGGGGGATCATAGGCTATTGCATATTTTTAGAAAATTAGGATAAATTATATAAATTATATATTTAAAAAGAGAATCTATTTCATTACCTTGACAGCATAATAAATAGATAAATAACAAACAGTTGATTGCCATTAGGAAAAAATGTGATTCTTAAATTACATTTGCATTATAGATATTTACATGTACAATATGCACAGAGACACAGTCAGGCGAGTCTTGGGATTGATCAGGACACAAACTCAAACGGCGGTTCGTTTTCTATGTTGTTGAAGGAAGATTTGCTGTTGAGTTTTCTAGGATCCTCTGGGGTCCACACTTTGGCTGTTCGGATAATATTTTGTTCTTTGAGTTGTTTTTCATCAGTCCATGAGAGAGAGTGACCTGCGAGGGGAGGGAGGCCGTAGTCCGGGTCGCTGGGAGAGGGGGACCCTGAGGGAGTGAGAAGAGAACACAGGGTGAATGTCCGACCGTATTCCCAGCAGAGACCTGCAGTGCTGAAGGGTCCGCTCCCGGGTGCCTCGACAGAACACGCGTCTTAGGTTACATTAGAATGACCCTTTTCCTCCACTCCGCAAGCCCCCAGCGCTCTTTCCCCGGAATCTCAGGAACTACACGTCCCTCGGGGTCGTGCGCCCCCTGGGCCGAGGTTAAAGTGGAGGGAAAAAACCTGAGAAATGCCAACTCGCGCTCAAGGTTGCCAGTGCCCACGGACCATCTGTCCATCCGTCGGTCGGCTTGTCTGTCTGTTCACCCAGCCCCTCCAAGACCTTCCCGCACCCGTCCTCGTCTCCCCGAGCTGGAATTCGAACACACTTACGGGTGCCCCGATGGCAGATGATAACCTTCTGGGCCTGGCTGCCCGGGCTGTCCCCTCCCAGGCGTCCACCACCGCCGGACCCTCGGCCGCCCCCTGGGCCGCCGCCGCGCAGTGGCAAGTCGGCCTGCACCAACTCGCTGAGGAAGTTGATGTAGCCGATGGCCAGGCGCAGCGTATCCACCTTGGAAAGACGCTTTTCGTAGGGAAGCGTGGGGATGTGGGAGCGCAGCCCCTCGAAGGCGTCGTTGATGGACTGCATGCGACGCCGCTCGCGCACGTTGGCCGCCTGTCGAAGCTGCTGCAGTTCCGCCTCCGAGCGCACCCGCCGCCGCCTCCGCACCGCCGCCGCCGCCGCCCCGCTCAAGCCCCGCAGCCGGGCCCCCGGGGACAGCACAGCCGCCCCAGCGCACGGGTAGGCCAGGCACGAGGGCGGCGAGCCGGGCGAGTAGGGGAAGCCGCCGGGGGGCGCACCCGCCTCGCAGCAGTAGCCTCCGCCACCGTCCTCTGGCTCTCCGGAGCCCCCCGAGGGCGGCGGGGCGAGTGCGTGCGGGGCAGCCGAGGGCGCGGGCTGCAGCAGCAGGCACGCCCCATCGCGGTAGCAGTACTCGTGCAGCTGGTGGCTGAGGAACTCCACCTCGGCCTGCTCGTCAGCCAGCAGCTCATCGCCATCCTCCAGAGGGTCCCGAGAGGACTGGTCGGTGAAGAAGTCCTCCTCGTCAAAGTAAGGAGATGGGAAGGCGTCAAGGCCCCCGGGGAAGTGCTCTAGCAGCACCGCGTCCATGCTCTGAGCCGCCGCGGGCTCGAGGGAGGGACTGGTAGCGTGAGGTGGTTCTCTGAAAGTTTGACGTTGCAGTTTTTGCTTCTCTGGCAGCCCCCTCTCTCGCTGTTTCCCTGCTCCTTGAGCTGGACGTAGTGGGGATGGCCCGCTAGCTCCCCGCCCCCGGCCTCCCTGGAGTGCCCACGTCCGCTGCGCTCTGGCAGCGCCGGCGCTACGCTGGGGAGGGCTGTGGCCGACTTGCTGCAGCTGAGGACCGGCACGCGAGGATTCTTATAACTACATCCACAGGCGCGTGCCAGGGACCCGCGGCGCCAGCCAATCACCGAGTCAGCGGGGAGGGGCAGGGGGCCCGGCTGGCGGCGCGAGGGCCGGAGAGGCTCTCCTTGGGTTGGGAGCTCCTGGGGCGGAGAGGAGGCGGGGTCTACGCTGCCCGAGTCCCCTATTGCACCACCCCGCAGGTTCCTCCGGCGAGTGCCTGCGGGGCGCACCGCTCCAAAGGCACCTGCAGCCTGCGACGCCCGCCGCCTGCCCGCGCGCGCTGCGCTGAGCCGCCCCCTCCTCCTCTCCTGGGCTGGGGCAGCAGCGCACAGCGTCATCGCACAGCTACGAAAGGTCTTAGGGGTGCGCTCTGATGGCCCAAATGGCTGGAGCTCGTTCCTTTTTCGGGGGTTGGCCCAGAAAATACCTGCAGCCTGAGAGGTCCGGGTTGGTGCATTTCGCCATCCCCATACCATGGGCGCTCTGGCCTACGGCCGGCTCGGTTCCATCTCATCCTCGAAACTTTGAAGAACTCTTGTAGAGTTTGGCACGGTGGACGCCAGCGTGGTTCGAAGGTGACGCAGTCCAGCTCCCAAGGCGTTTCAGACGCTGAGCGGAATCTAGGGGTTTGAGCCTTCCGGACGCCCCCTCTGGAGCCTGACTCTGGTGCGGGTGGGGTGTCCGTCCCCAGCGACGCCGGCTCCAAGTCAGTCGCGCCTCCCCTACCTTACGCGGCCCAGGGAAATTAATGCGAACACTGGAGGAGCTGTCTCGCAGGGCAACTCAGTTGGGCACGTTTCCTCGGAGAGCTGATCGAAACCCTGGGGGTTCGAATCTATAAAACCTGGTACAAAAGGAAGGAGTGAATTGAACTGTCTGCTTCGGAGCAGTCCGGAGGAAGGGCGGGACGTTAAAGGACGGAGTGTGACCGTTTTCAAACTTGAGTCTGTCAGCTTTCTGACTGGTCACCAAGATCATCCTTTACTTTTTTATTCTTTTTCGACCTGCACGCACACACACACACACACACACACACACACACGTATGCGCTGTGCCCACACTTTATAACAGACTGCGATGTAACACGAATTCCTCAGTTTAGAAGTAACAAATACACTTTCAAGTTCGGGCAATTCCTGTTAAAAACCGAGTCCCGGCTTCCTCCCGTGGAGGGTTAGAAGTGTAGCCGATAGCGCACGTTCTCTCCATAGAGGACCGAGGCATAGTGTTCCGGGGTCAGCCGCTTGCCCTTTCAGACCCTTGTCCCACCAGAGGCTTCGAGTGGGTGTTCATACTCATCTCAACATCCAAGGCGGTGCCCCTTAAGAACTGCGATTTAAACAAGCTTCTTGGTTTTAGACATTACACTGTATTTAACTGAATTCTGAGACCAAAACATATTTTAGATTAGAAGATCAGAGATTACCTAACCTGGGGTGGAGCAGAGATGGTTGTCAAGGACCTCAAACAATTTTAAGCCAAAGACGTACTGTTTTTCAGCATACTCTGTCCTGTGTTAGCTTCTTAGCCCATGTCCCTTCCTGGTGAGGTGGTTGTCCTTAACATGAAGCAACTGTGGACAGGTTCCCTGTGTCAGAGCACCAATGGCCATGTCCTTCATTTAGACTTAGCTTTCTCACCTCAAAAAGAGGGAAGGTATGAGGGGGGGAGTGTTGTCAAGACCCGGGATCTAACCAGCTGGTGGTATACTTCCAATTCTCTTTACATTGAAAGGCCTTCCTCCCCATCCCTCACCTGGTTAGATTAAAACCACATGGGAACATGCCCTTGGATCAACCTGATGACTTGGAAGGGTAACAAATGACCAGACTTCAACGACTTATCCCAAATAATAGATAACCATTCAGTGAAAGAAAGACTGGATTCCAGCCTATAAAGGTTCTCTTTAAGATCTACCTCTGATAGATCTCGGTGGTCCTTGAGAAAGTGTGTTTGTGTCATGGCTATGTTGGGGGCGGGGGATGGCTTGGGGACTTAGGAGTCAGAGAGTGTGTATATGGGCATCTTTTTACCCAGTGTGATTTTAACAGCCATTTTCCAATGAAAATCATCTTACATATGCTTGATGAGTTTGTGGAAGAGTACAGAAATCTACCTTGGACACCCAGGTGAGCTAACGGGAAGTCAGCTTCTTTACTGTCCTATGAGGCTGAGCAGAGCATGGATGTTCCGGGCAACTCCCAGACTGCATGGATGAACATGGAGTAGGAGAAAAGAAAAGATATTCACTTGTGCCAGATAACCCTCCTCACCCTCTCCCTCACTACTGCATCATTTTGGAGGATTGCTGGCTGTCTGCAGACTGGTACCATTGGGAAGTGGGGGCTGGGCCTGCAGATGCTGATACTGGGATACTGGTATAGGCATTCATGCATGCAAATGCACACACATGCACATACATCCTGTTCCTAAGTAAGGCAAGATTGTTCTTTTCTCTAGTAAAAAGAAGAAAGACTTCACCACTAATAAAGGAAATTTTCTCTGGGTCATTGGAGGTCACAACAGCATGGATGGAGGCCCTTTGCCTCTTGAAGCAACAGGTTGGGTGAGAAGATGGCTGGGACAGAACCTCATCTTGCCAGGCTAGAGATCCAAAGTCTCATTCCAGCCCCACCCTCCTCAGTGCCCAGATCCTCTGAGCAGCGGGGCGAGGGTCAGAGGGGGGAGAACATGGAGGGAGACAAGATCAAAAGGCTCCAGGTACTTCTTGGAGAACAGAGGCGGCTTCAAGCCTTTCTCCCCTCTGTCCTCAGGAGAAATCTTAAGAACCCCCACCTCACTATGAAATAGCATCATCCCACAGGCGGTGGCAGGGACACTTGGCTCTTTTTAGTGCCAAATTCTAATGAGGCCTCCACATATTTTCAAGTCTTCTGAAAGGAACTCAGTTCTGGTCCTGGTAGACCCCCTCCACACCTTCAAGGCTGCTCGAAGCCTCGACCATCTTGGAGGTGCTCAGTTCCACGACACCTCCTGGCAAGGGCTACTGGGCATTGAGGAAGCCTTGTTGCGCCTCTTTCTTCCTTCCTCCCTCCTTCCCTCCCAGGGGTCTCAAGGATCTGAATACTTGTTCATTTGTTTCCCATTTGTATACTTCAAAACTCTTTCCCCAACTTCTAGGAACAATGACTGGAGACTTGGGACCCGTGTCCCGAGCACCTTCTCAGGATGAATTCCAGGCAGAGCCCACTAACGAAGAGTGTGGCAGCCAGGCTCTCCATCCTTCAGCTTCCCCTCCCTATATTCCCATAGTGCTCGATGCCACTTGGCTGAGTCTCCCCTGCTGGAGCCTAAACTCCGCAGAGACCAGGTGTCCCTAGAGCATTCCACTCCTCGTTTAGTGCTTACAAGCAGGTACTTGTGGATGTGACTCATGGTCTACCTTCCCACTTGAAAATGGGTCCATATTAATTCCTCCTGACCCAAATTGTCCTTTTCCTCACTCATAAACACAGGATGATGCCCAGTGTCTGGTTTGTCCTCCTCTGTGTCCTTTCCCCCCTCCTTTGTCACCCTCTCTCTCCCCTGTTCCATGAATACTTTCTTCTCCTCGCTCAGGTGCCCTTATCAACCCACCCTTTATTCCTATAATCTTAGGAAACGATTTGAAAACTAAAATCGTGGGTTAATGCTGAAATATCTCTCAAGTCCAGAGAGGTTCAGTGACTTCCCTAAGGTCACACAATAGGTTACTGTTAGTCCCAACGCACCTCAGCTCAGTGCAGGTTCCCCTGGCTGCTGAGAGAAGATTCCAGCTTTGCTTCCACTCCCTCATAACAGGTGTATTTATATTGATTTGCAATGTAGTCAGTACAGGCCCTGTTGTGAACTGGTCCAGGTTACCAAGTACCACCTCCTTGGTCTCCAGCCCTGGCTCTCCAGAGTCCTGACTGCCCCTCCTGATGTGCTGAGGAAGGACTAGCTGAATGGTGCCATTCCCAGCACAAGAAAAAATATGCAAAATTAAATATGGGATTATGAGATTTATACTGGTTTTCAAAGTCATACTATATAGATTACAGATGTTTTATCTATTCAGAAGGCCTACTGTGACCATGTGACATTTTGTTCCACCTTGGAAGTGACTGGCACAGAAGACGCCAAACTCCTCTACTCAGTGTAAAAGGTCTTCCTTGAACTGCCTCCTCTCCAGTCTCCTCATATATTTACTTCATCATCAGTTGCCCTCTCCTGTCGTCAGATGCCATACTGCTCTCCCTCTGGTTTTCTTTGTTTGTTCCTACCCTTCGTCTCAATAGCCTGAGCTCTTTGGTTTGGCTTGAAGGTCTTATATTTATTCTACATAAGATAGGTAAAAGGAATAAGACTAACATTAGAAGAGAAGGAATGAATATTTGAGAGGACTTTCAGACATGTTTATCATTTATCCTTCTAATTCAGCAAGCTGAAGGGTATATTTCTTATTCCAACCAGTGTATAAATGAGATTCGGCCTTAAATCCATGGCTGCACTGCCAGTAAGAGAAAGGGTCAGAGTTAACCACCCAGGTGTGGCTGGTTCCTTATCTCATTTGTATTATATATCATCTCTCTGCCCCTCCTTTGTCTCTACACTTAATATAGCTGATTAAATAGGATTTTCACATGGATTGGCTTGTTTGCTCCTAATGCAGCATTGTGAGATAAACTGGCAGATATTTTTCTTCTGTGCAAGTAATAAGATTCAGAAAGGGCAAACAACTCTCCTAGAGTGACACTACCAGC